ATACTTTTTAAGTTGAATATAACCTTTTTTTTAACCAGTCATTAATCATGCTAGAGAAACTTCAAGGCAATTTCACCTCATTTTTCCACATTTGTATATTGTAACAAAGTAGACTTCAGTTTTGCAAATGCTGTGCTAGGTTAAAAAACCCAGTAACGTTTTGATTAGATCAGTCCTTCAAGTTAGCGTTTTTGAGCAAAGTGCTTACTCAGTTTTCAAAATGAAGAATATTGAGAGTTAATATAATGATATTCATGCTACCAGTTGTGGATATATTTCTACCTTAAAAACATTTTGAAAGTTAAAATTATCATTCATGAGTTTTCCCACAGGCAGCTAAGACTCACTAAAGAGCTGAGCTGGCCAAATACCAAGTTAAAGCAATTTTCATCCTATTTTACTATGGACATACTGAAAACAACTAGCTTTCTCTTTAACAGTACAATAAAACTTCTAGTTTTTAGACAAATAGTAAAATACAAATGAGTTTACAATACACATTATTGACCTTAAGTATTAGAAGCATAACACCTACAAATAGATTGCTCCAAAAGAGGAATAAGAAGTACTCCTCAATATTGCAGGAACATTCCCTATGTTGTGCTACACTAAGGAAGCACTTTCACAGTTTACGGTAACATTAAGCAGGCTCTGGCACTTAAAACCACAACTGCTTATTAACACAATCTCCTCAAATGTTGCAATTGCTATGAAATACCATTAAATGACTTACTATGCAAAGATGGTTCCATTGTAGCCATTCATACAAGATTCAACAATATTTTTGGCCACACTTGAGAATACTGACTCCTGCGGACAAGGGTAAGAGAAGGCACTTGACACCATTTATTTACATATCTCTTCTATCAGTGTTTTCTATGCCATAACTTTATAACTTATAAAATTGATGCATTCATTGAAGTTAGACATGTATCATGACCCCTGGAGCTCTCACAGCAAAACAATACATCCTAAGTCTTTGTGACATAAATCACTCCCTCTGAAAAAATTTTATTCCTTGTTGATAACCGAAAGGCAAATAATAAAACTCAGCATCATAATAACAGCTTTCAAATATATATCATATTAATTTTGGTCCAGTGTTTTTGATTACGTTATATGGTTTATTCTATCAGTAGGTCAACACTGAGCCTATGACACTCATCAGATCTAGTTAACTTTCAACATTTGCCACTGCAGAATGGCATATTCAACAAATCTGCACAACTGTTAGCCTCATCTATTTTCACGTATTTCTCTTAGACCTGCAAGAATAGCCTAGCTACAAATAACAGCCTACAGTGGGTGGGGTTCTGGTTTTTTTGTTTGGTTTGTTTTTTTTTTTTTTAAAACAGAAGTTAATGGAATTGAAGTCTTGGAGGAATTAAAATTATGTTCAGAATTTCAAACACAATATTATAAATATTAAATTGAAGGATTTTCCTTCCAGTATTACCTGTCCCAGATGAACAACACATCTGTTTAAAAGGCAGATGTATAAGAAGGAAATATAATTAATAGCATATAAACTTGTAAGTTCCTAATACACAAATCACATCTGCTGCTGACTGCCAGCTACTTTTATGTTTGTCTCAACAGGAGCATTTATTTTCTGTCTATGGTGCTACTCTAACATTTACATATAGAAGGTTCAATTTTAATACAAACTTTAAAGAAATTACCAATTAAAAATACATTAAAACTATTAGACATCAGAATTTAGTGCAACGTTTCTGTACTATAACTACATATTACCACTGCAAAAGAATAAGGCCTAAGGCATTACATCTTTAGAAAGGTTTAGTGTAGCGGTTGCCAAAATTTGGGGGAAAACTCCAATACTATTATGAGATTCTGGAAGTTATTACCTGTGTTGTTTCCATATTTGCAACATAATCAAAAGTGAAGATCTTTGGCTCAGGCTTCGAATGCAGACGGATGGTATTTGATGAAAGAACAGATAAACACAAGCCTTGATCTCCATCGGTTAACGCAGTTCCCTCTGAAGGGGGACGTACCCTTACATAAACTTTGATAGCATCACCTTCAACGCTAAATGAATATTTATGCATTAGATCACTATTAGATTAAATCACAAAAATCAGATTAAGCATGTGAAGTCATACAAAGGTGTCTCCTGAAAATACACTACTTCTAGCTGTACACATCAATTCATTACAAGTCAAAGATTTACTAAAGGTAACAATGTGGCAGATTTAAAAACAAAGAACATGAAGTTAGTGGAATTTATTGCTGTTGCATCTAACTTCAGCTCTAAAAGAACACGTTTCACAGGGAACTCGAGATATATAACCAGTGTTATAATAAAGGTTTCGATAGTTTCTAAGACTTCTAAGGCTTCAAGCATCCTTCTTACTACTGGAAGTTATAAAAGACTTTACAAATGGAGCAGATGATGCTACATTCCAGCAAGAAAGTTACTAGCATTTTTCTTTGCTGCTTACAAGAAGGGAAAGAACAATCAATTCTTGATCCATGAGTCCAATAAAGTATAGCAACACCTACATCTAAAAGCTCCTTAACCTATTTCATCACATTTATCAGTGGATGCACCAGTAAATTTAGCTTGAACAAGCAACTGTGCACAACTACTATATTAAAGCTTTGAGGAGTTCTGGCATAAATACCAATATATTCTCTCCCAAAAGGCAGTTATAGCATGAGGGTGTTGTAACTATTATTAATTTTTACTTTTGGTAAACAAGAGAAAGGAACAGAATAGTTTTAAAAGTGGGGGAAGGACTTCATGACTGAAATGTGCAGTTGAAGAGTGGCAGAGGAAAGGGCTAAAAAAGAAGAGGAAGCAGCTGAGAAAGGGAAGATGTTATATTAGATTTAAGACACACCACACTAACTTGTCAAATATTTTTTCATTAGATAATATTATTCTGAGTTGTGGCAGATACTGTTTATATTTGGAGGAAGGCTTTTGGTTTTAGCTTAGGACTTCCTCACAGAATTGAGGTTCCTCACGGAGTATCTCTTCAGAGAAATTCTAGAGTCCAGCTGCAGTTAGTGGACAAAAGAGAATTTACTGCATGGCAGCATTCCAAGAGGAATCTGATACCTCAGAACAACACTTTTATTAAGAGAACATTTTTTTTTTTTTAAACCTGTAAGGAAGTTAGGAGAGAAAGGCAACAATCTTGTGCAGGAAAACATTGAACGAAAAAACTTTAAATTATTTTAAAAAGTTATACTAGGTTTTGTTTGCACTTTTTATACAATGTGATTATTCATACACAGGAACTGGCCAATGCTACTTTACCTAGGTGAGTTCAACAAAGGAAGTGTAGAGTCACGTAAATCTCCTACAAAATAAAAGTGGAACACACACACACAGAAATTAAACAAGATAAAATTATTGCTCAAAAAAATCCATTTAAATGGAAAATACTGTAAGCAGTACTGAGGGAGACAAATGGAGAGCCTTATAAATATCCGTTTCATCCATAAATCAGAACTTCACAAAAATATTTAGTAACTATCTTCCTTTGACAGGAAGTTTGCAGTTTCTTCCAAAGGTAGAGAAAGCTCCAGTCCTGCAATACAAGCATACACATACTTGTATATGCACATGCAATGAGTAGTCTCTTAAATTAATGTATATAAGGTTTTGCAAATGTTTTTGAGAATTAGAAACATGAATGTTAGTAGTATTATGTATTCCCATTATATTTTAAAAATTGCTAACTCACTGCAGATAAAACAACAGTACAGCATGAAATAGTTTTACTCATGTGACTGCAAAAACTCAATTTCCTAAACCTGCACAACTGAGTAACTACATTACTTTCACTTTTATGAAGTAATATTGAGCACTCTGTAATACATAAAGCTCTCCTATACATATGAGCATCATTTTGCACAGCTTCACATTTCAAGGAGATGGCACATGTTACCCCATAGGTAGATATGGTGACTTGTTTTTTACTTAAGGGTGAATCTGACATGAAATTATTTCACATAGGTTAGTCAAAATATTAACTAAGTAACAGAATCAAACTTAAAAAATAAGTAAAACGATAACGAAGGATGATTTACCAAAATATTCCAATACTAAAGACCTTATAAAGTCTCTAAAAAGTGCACAGGTTCTATTGTAGGAGGATCCCTTTAAAAGTAGGATTAATAATGATGTGCAAAGGAACTAACCTCATTAACATTCATGCTATATAAATATCCTGCTGCTGCTATGCGAGCCTACCTGCTTTGATTCACACAATAACATTTGAGAGATGTGCTAACTTCTAATTCAGTTATATCAGGTGCACAAGGTATCAAAACGAGCTGGGACAACAAAAGCAGTGCATTTTAAAAGTGAAAATCAGACTGATAGATACTTGCACAACCTCTGCCTTGGGAAATGACCGCCTCTCAGCTAACCGTTCTTAGCTCGCATTTTAAAGTGCTGCTCTCACTTGAACGTTTGTAAGCGACGAGTTACAACCATCACTAATTAAAACTCGATATAATTACAGAAGACGAACTGATAAACGCTGGACGGCTGAGAGCAGCAAGGTTTGTAAAGCCTTCCCGCCTGGGAGGGCTGCTTACACATATCAACCACGAGAAGCCCTTGGAGACACCGGTGCCAGAAGCGCTTCTGGAAGTGCCGGGGGTCACCCCTCTCCACCCCTCCCCGACACCACCGGGGGCAGCGCGGCTGCCCTGCGGCCGCTCCGGGACCGCAGCCCCAGGGCTCCGGCCCCTCCGTGCTGCACCGAGCACAGCCAACGCGGCCATACCCCTACCCGACCCCGTTTGTTCTTACACCTGGGCGATACTCGCCCCGCAGGCGGCCGGCCCCAGAGGGTAGAGCCGTCCCCTCAGCTGGCCGGGGGCACGGCCTGCAGCGCGGCCTCCCCCAGCGAGCCGCCCCGGTCCCCGCCTGCTCCCCGCACAGCGGGGAAACATCCCTCAGCCCCTGCGCGGCCCCACGGCCACGCCGTCCCCCCTCACCTCTCACGCCGGGAGCCATGATCCTCGCCGGCCCTGCCGAGCCCAGCGCCTCCCCGCCCACCGGCCACCGCTCCAAAATGGCGGAACGTTTGAATTTGGCGCTAAGAGCCTCCAGCGGCGTGGCCCCGCCCCCTCCTCGAAGCCAGCATGGGCGCGGCCATTTCGCTCTAACTCCTCCTTCCCTGCTCCGGCTTCTCTCCTGCCATTGGCTGACAGTGCCTTCGCCTCCTTCACGTGACGGGGAGAGTTACGGGAGGGAGGCGGTGTGTAGCTGTGTCCCACTAGGGCCGCCGTCCTCCGGCGCCCGCTGGGCCCGGAAGCGTGCGGTGGCAGGCGGCAGCGCGGCTGGGTGGCGGGCAGCGGCCATGAGCAAAAGGAACCAGGTCTCCTACGTGCGGCCGCGGCCCGGCGCCGCGCTCGCGCGGCGCGGCCCTCCCCCCCCCGGGCTGCCGCCGGCCCCCTTCCCGTGGGCTTGTGTCGGGGCCCTGCTTCCCTTCCCGCCGCCGCCCCCGGGCGCTCGCCGGGGGTGGGAAGGGGCAGCGCCCGCTCCACGGGGGCCCCCCTGCCACGATGCCCCCCCTGCGGCCTAGAATGAAGGCGGGGAAGCAGCACTTCCAGGATTTGCCCCTGTAGGGCAAGGGGTAACAGTAGTTACCCGCTTAAAATTAACCGAAGCTGGCTTTGCAACTTGTTTTTGTTTCTGTGTTGGAGATTCAAAATAACAACAACAAACATCCAGTGCCCCTCCCCATTGCTGTTTTTAATAATTGCAGTCGTGGTGATTGTGGTGCCCTTCGCAGAGCAGCCAGGGCAGACCTGTCAGCACCCAAGTGGTCTGTGGGGGCAACGGGGGGAACAGGAATAATAAAAAAAAGAGTGTTTTAAGAGTATAGTAAAACAAATGTATTGGAAAGGGGTTAACATCATCTAAACATCAAGTCAGCAGACATAGGCTCCAGTGTGATGGCCAGGAAGGCAGGGCAGGGGCAGTAGGGTTTGAGCCAGCTTGTGAAAAGGCAGCCTTTTCTGAGGGTGTTCTTTTTTTCTGTGTTTACAGTGTGCTTTTGCATGTGTTTCCTAACTGTAAGGTTTTACAGGATGCCTTAAGAAAGAGGCCCATCGTTATTTGTGAGGAGATGGAATTTGAGATAAAAGTGTGCCTTTAGTAAATTTAGTACAAGCTGTTTCACTTCCTGAGGAAAATTGCATTTTGTCTATCTCTTGGTAACTTCAGTAGATTATGGTAATGCTATCTATACTTTTCCTTATAAGATGAAGTTTTCAGTTCCTATAATATTGCCAAACTATGCTGTTGCACTGAGGTTTCCATGGCAGCAAGTTTATTTATATAAAGTTTTATTCCAAATGATTCTTCTGTCTCAGACCACAAGTTTGAGAGAGTGGGAACAGGGACATAGTCTTCCTTGTGTCAGTAATGCTTACAATGATTTGGTTAGGCAGCTTTAATAACAAAGCCACCATGGACTTCCTTTCCCTTTGCACTGTTTTGAGTACAGCATAGAAGATTCAAATTTGGACCTACGCATTTAACATTTTCTTCATGTTGCATGACAGGCAGTGCTTGTACAGTAAAAATAACGAACAAAAGGAATAAATTTCTTTGGAGTGCCATTTGGACAAAGTGTGTTGGGAGGCCCTGGCACTGACAGCTGTGCCAGGTCTCCTCACTAACCTTACTGCAAAAGTGAAACCAAGGAGTACTAGCCCACCCTTAGCTGTTGTGATTTAATATGGTGATCAGAATTGCTTTTATTTCTCTCCTGTCTAGAGAGAGCAGCTTCCACTTGCAGATGATGATAGTGAGAACGGCAGTGACAATGAAGATGAGCAGCCTCAAGTGGTAACACTGAAAAAAGGAGACTTGACTGCTGAAGAAGCAATGAAAATTAAACAGCAAATCAAAGAGGCCTTAAAGTCAAATGAATCAGGTGAATTTCAAGCTACTAATTTCTTGCTTTGTATAGCCAAAGAGAGAAAACCCGTAACAGGGAGCTTGATATTTGCTCATTTTTCTACTGCTTAATACTACCTTTGATTGGTTCTTTTGAATTTTTCAGCTAAATAATTCAGACTTGTCATTCCTAATCTGAAGTCATTGAGTACATATCCAAGCTGTCTGGCTTTTGATAGTGTTGCAGTTCTGTGCTTCTTGATTGTGCATCGTCCTACTTCCAAATACCACCTTAAGTCTTTTTCTTTCTTTTCTTTTTTTCTTTTTTTGTTTTGTTTTGTTATGATGTATCATTGTCCTAGTACACAGTCTTTTGACATCACCTGTGATAATTTTTGAACTTATTAATTAGTTCAGCCAAATTTGATGGTGGAGTGGATGTCTTAAAGGTAATGGTATGAGTTCATTTTTTTAGAGTGTCTGGGCGGAAGGAGGAAACTCAGGTTAGTGCTTCAGTAGAAAGAATGGCAGGTGTGTAAGCTCAGTAACGTGTTCACTTAACTGGTCCATGTTATTACTTGCTTAAAATCATCCCTAGTATGTGTTGTGACTTGCAAATACATTCAGCAAAACTAAATGGATTAGTTGAAAATAACAGATGATACAATAGTGCCAACAAACAGTAAGGTATAGAAAAAAATGTCTCTTTGCTACAAAGAATTAGAAAGATTTATTTAAGTTATTTAACAGGCTTTTCAAGACTGGACAGATGGGAGTGGTGTAGGAGAGGTTGCTGCAGTTAGACAATAAAGACATGAAACTATAGCTGATGAATACAGTTATGTTAAGAATTTCTGTCAGTATTCATCATTCTGATATGGTTGACATAAATGCTTTGAGAGTCCAAAAACTTCCATCATCACACAGGATGTGATGAAATATAGCTTTATTTTTATTTTTTGCTGACAGAAGACATGACAGATTAAAGGTAGATATTACTGTCTCTAGTGGAAATGTCTTGACAATTAAGAATATAGAACTGGATTCTCACAAGTATAAAACAGAAAAGTGATTCATAGAAGCTGCAGACCTTTTCCTCGATTAGCCATTGTAGCTATTTACAAAAGCTGTAAATTGAGTTTAGAGCAGATTGAGAGGCTAGCACACGGCTATCAATATGACATCCTTAGCTTCTGTCTTTTTCTGCCATTTGGATTAAAAATTCAGGTTTGTTGGTATAAATGGAGAAGACAAATAACAGTAGTGGGAGAAAATACATCGAGAATCTTACATTTTTGAAAAGCAGATTGATGAAAAATTCTTAATTTTTATAATGTAGGTTAGCTTGAAACTAATAATACTACGTCTGACTTGTTTCTGCAGGTAGATATGTATATGTAAGGTGTAACCAGGTAGTGGACCGAGGGCTGTGTTTATATAATTTGAACTCCTCTGAGAAAATATTTTCAGTGTGTGGCTTACTTCCTCGTCTCTTATGGAACTGTAATGCATGTGCTTGGTGTCGCAGTTTGTAAAGTTGTCACATGATTTCTTTTCAAAAATGGGATCACCCTCCTAGTATTGGGAGAAATTTCAGCCTGTTGGAAAGAAATGGCATGATTCTTTCTAAGCATTGGTTTCCTGTTCATATAAGCAGCTTGAATTTTGAATGATCACAGTAGGAGGAAAAATGATTTTGTAAGGCTGGGCAAAAAGAAGTAGTTGTCCATGAGAATCTGTTGAGGTGGAGTCCATGCTGTGAAAAAAGTCCAAAAGAGCTACCAAGTGGAATACACAGTATGAAATGGAAGTGTATTTGAATAGAGTAACTGAACTTCTTTGGTGGAAAAAGACATTCCTAAGACATAATTGTATGTAGTGAGGTTGGTCGTATTGAGTCCCTGTAGGACTTTGGCACCTCTGCTTATTACCCCTTCAGCCCTTCAGTAATAACTTGCACTTGGAGGAAAAAACCCCTGCAATAGTAGGTAGCAGAAGTGTTGAATCACTATGCTCTGGGGACTGCTGCCCTCTGTCCTACATTATTGTGTTACTATTCATTCATCTGCCTTTGCTGTTAATATGAGATCTTGGCCTCCTTTTCCTTTTTTTGGCTTGTGGGAATAAACAGGGTAAGTGCTACTATGTTCCTCTGCTATGGAGAGGACCTGGTGTGAAATTTTTAATGAAGGTGTGGATGACTGCTACAGCTTGCTGAAGGCTTTTTCGAGTCTTTGTCCATCTTTGCACTGTCAGTCTGACGTCTAGATTTAAATTCTGGTTTCTAGTCAGAGGCAGGTATTTAGACAGCTGCTTACTTCCAGGTTAAGAGAGTTTTGAATAACTTGTTAATTTCTTTTCTTTTTTTTGGATAATTGTCAATTCTGAAAATGGGAAGTATAAAGAAAGTTTGATGCTGCGTGATTTGATCACATTTCTTGTTGCTTTGATTTTTATCCCAGAGTTGAAAGTGAAATTAATTTAATGGGTACTAGAACATAATATATAGCCCCAAATCAGATCATTAGAGAAATTATATGAAGCTGAAAAGGTAGCAGAGAAGTAAATTTTCCAACTGATAATCTTCCTTTCCACCATGCATCAATGCCGAGGCACTTTGATAGATCATAACTAATGTGCTGCTAACTATCTGTTGTGAATAGAAACTGTTAGTTTTTAAAAACATGCAAAGTACTCAGGTTTGAGGTTCTGCCTTCTCCTCTTTTATATCTGTAGTGATTGTCTTCATTTGAAGGTCCTTGTCTTCAGGCCTTGGTTTGGGATATTATTCTAGGATTTTCCATATCTCATTTACATCCTTTCTCCTTCATTTTCTTCTGTAATCAGTTTGACACGGCTACACTTTTTTTATTTTAGGCACCAGCAGTTCCTGTGACTTGCATTTTCTTTTACAGATGAGTAATGTTTTTGCATTAAAAACAGCTGATTAATGTCCTAGCTGCGCTTGGTTGACTCCTAAGGCAGAACAAAATTTAGTGAAGCTTCTAAGTTGGCTTTTGCAAGTATAGTCACAGGGAACTTTTTTATTTAGGACTGAACCCTTCCTATATGAGAAAACACCATTCCATATTGAAATATTTTTCTCTATGTAAGACTGACTTAGAGGCTTTTTAAAAAGAAGGCATTTGTTTATCAACAGTCATTTTACTTAATATTTTTATGCAGCGTTTTATAAATCGTTACCATTGGTTCAGAGACAAAGAAAAATGGTCTTATGAGAAATTAAATTTGCACAAAAGAAAAGATGCTGATTACTGCAAGATACTTTATCCCAGCATTCATTATAGTCTATGGAATTGATTTTTCTACTGCTTTTCTAGTTCATCTGGCCTCTGGCACACTCTGATACACATAGATGACCAAATTTGGCAGAAGGTGTCCTTACTTATTCAAAGTCTTTTAATATTATTCTTGTCTCATTCTGTATGCTGGAGTTGGCAGAGGACAAGAGTGGAGAGGCAAGGAGAATACAGTCCATGCTGTCTTGGGTGTTGGAGCTCTTTCCTTAGCTTAAACATATCACAGAGTTCATGCTGCTCTTCATCATGTGAACAGCAGGATCATGTGAACAGCAGTAATCTAAACCAAAGCTAATTTTACAGTATTTAAGTAACAAAAACTTTCCCAAGTGTCCTCATAAATGATTGAGACTGAATATCTGAGCAGGACTGGCCTTTTTATCTTCATGATACCAGTGTGCGGAATTCCTGTAGTAAATGCTTCCCAAGGCATGCCTAGAGATGGGTGGCCCGAAAGCACTAGAAGGAACATCTGAAACTGCTGACCTGAACTTCTAACCTTAGAAACCATTAAGCAATTTGCCAGGTTATCATAAATTTTTTCCAGCCTTTATCATTGAATAGACATATATCTTGAAATATTGTTTGCGCTGCTCCTCCTGTTCTTCCTGCCAGTTTCATGGCGGTTGCGTTTCCTGTTGTTGCCTCATTGACCCATGCGGACAGAAACTGCTGAGAAATGGTGCTGCTAACTACACAGATAACTACTAAATAAAAAATACAGTAAACTGAAGAGCAATGTTTCTTTTTCAGACCCTCATTTCTGCTTCTCTTGTAATACATAACTTGCAATTAAAAGAGAAGAAAAAAATTTCTGCATTTGTGGCTTCTTAAATTGATGTCACTGGTGGAGTGAGTTTTCAGCTCAACGTCTGATTGTGCCCCTCTTAGTCGACCAGTGTAAAGGTTTGTGATCCAGGTAAAAGCAGCATTGACTAAGAACAGTCAGAATTTGAACTGCTAGTGTAGTTTTTTGACTCTCTTATCAGAAGTGGATTTTATTATTTCTCCTGTAATGCTTTTATGTTGGTTGTATTTTACTTTGTGTGTTTCGGTGTGTTTATCAGAAATCCTGCTTTCCGTAATTTGTAACACTGATACAGTCTTTTATCAGGCCTCTATTTCAAAAGCTACCAACACTGAAATTGTTTCTTCATTCTCTTCTTTGCATTGCTTAATGCAAGTCAGTTTTTGGAGGTCATCGATAAAAACAAAAAAGACAGCTGACACAGCTTTACCTGCTGGAAAAGACAGTCTTAACAAATCACCACAAATTTCTTGAGCTGCTACATCAAATTCTTTCAAAAAGCAGAGTCGGTCTGTTCTCCCTCTTTCCACAAGTTGCTTAGGTAAGACTAGGCCTGCTGTGTTTCTTCATCTGCTTCATTATTTGTCAAGCACTGCCAACACATCATAGCTCTCTGAAGTTGGCCTGGGCTTCCTTGAAAGGAATGTTCTGGAGCATATAATGAAATTTTGACAGTGTTTAACCAGGCCAAGAGCTAAAATCTTTTCCTTTGATGCAGAATGATGTGCAAATAATATTGAGGCCCTGGAGGTCAGAGCTAAGCTAGCTGCCATTTTGGTGGAGTTTTTGAGCTTTGCTCTATTTATGCGCTTTGCTTACTAAGAGTTTAAATTCATATTGCAAATATACCTATCAGTTTCTCCATCTAGTAGACAAGATGAAATGATTTTGTGCAGTTCATAACGTGGGCAGCAGGAGACTTGGGGGTAAAATTGAAATTTCTGACTTCCAATTTTACATGGAGTTTGAGTACGTAGTTGTTTATCTGATTTATTTTGTGGATGTGCTTTTGTTAGGTTTTTAGGGGTTTGGTTTTTCAATTTACCATTCTAAGAAAATGCAGTAATTGCTCTTTAAAAGAATGTCCAGTGAGATTTTTTGACGCTCCTCATGCTTATGCAGTAGTTGGTTGCTTTGAAGTCCTATTTCCACAGCTGTACTGGTACTGTATGCAGTCTGTGTGCTGACTGGCCCAAGTATATAGACAGTTGGGTCTGCTTATATGTGAAATTTTTCTTATAGATGCATTCCTTTTTTTTGCAGAATTTGGCTTCTATCATGTGTCTTGGATCTTGTTTAAGTTAGAAGATATGGGTTTCCAAATAAACATTCTAGTTAACCAATAATTAGTAAGGGGAATTATTTTATATTTAACTTCAGAGCCCAAAAATGGAGGCAGTTATGTGGAAAAATATTTTGAATTTTTAATCCAGCCTCTGAGAAGAATGGTACATAGTGCATTTCGATTGGTTGGGTGTGATATGTTTTCAGAAATAGTTATTTTTCTCTGCCAGAATAGGCACTTCCTAAACTTCTGTATCCCATGTACAGCATCTAAACACCTAAGCTTTCCATGCAGAATTCACAACGGATCCATTGACAAGTATGCTTATCATATCTACAGTTTATTATTGCTGGTAATTCCTTGAAACTGTAATGCTTTTCTAATGCACCAGTACTGAAATATTTTCCCCAAACCTGGTTAGTTATTTTCTGCATAGTAGTATTCTCTCATAAACTACTGCAGAAGCATGCATTCTGTAGAAGTCATTGACAGAATGGGTGCTTAGTTTTTTAAGCTAGGTTTCCTCTTAAAAAGGGTCTGTGAAACTTAAGGGATTATACGTGAAGTTTCCTAATGAGGTTGATGGTCTTAATTTGTACCACACAACCCTTAAGATACCGGATTTAGTAGTTGTATTGTTTGGAGTCTGCACCGAAGAGTGTTTCAGCCAGTGCTGTGCATGATAACACTGAAATGTTAAGTCTTCTGCCATAACGCTTATGAACTGAGGAAAAAATTCATGGTAAAGACAAAAGATAGTTATTGGTTATAATTAAACAGCACATAATCTTGTCAAACACATGCATATTGTTAGGAAATTTCTGTTGAATAATGAATTTCACAAAAGTGCTTTAGGAAAAATATCTTGCACAGAACCTATGGTTCTTTAACATCCTGTCACATATACATTATAAAAATTGCAAACTACTGCAGCATGAGCCTTTGTGTCTGATTCATGACTTTACAGTTACACTTTTTTTCCCAGAAATACTGCCTTGATGCTGTTACTTGTGCAGTAGCTTTTCTCCTCTGCCTGATAATCCTGGAAGGGACTTCTCTTGTTTTTAAAATTGTTATTTGCTCTAGTACATGCAGAGGAGCAGAATTAGTCAGTTGGAATAGTTTGGTGATTTTGCAGGTACAAAGAAACCCTAAAACTTTCATCCTATATGATAATAAAAAGCAGGTTTGTGACCGGGTAATCTTTTTAGCTGTCTCAGCAGGACAGGGTATATTAGAAGAAAAAGAAAAGCTTTGTCCTATATATGTGCCATTTTGTTCTTTAAAAGAGATACCATAATTTGGAAATAAGTGCATTTGTTGTCACGGGTTTTACAAATAGTGAAGTGGAATTAGAGCATCCTATAAAGTTGTCCTCTCCATTTTGATAAGTGGATGCGGCTGGATTGTATGGGAAAAGCTCTACTGCTCACAGTCTCTTCTAAGTTAAAGCTCTGGTCAGTAAGAACCCATTTCTAAGAGGAACTGCAGGAGAACTGTCTTCAAGGGCTGGTCTCGATGGAGCAGATGTGTGTGCATGAAAGACATTCATCGATACAGACTTTGTGGCCAAAAAATACATTTTCATGTATTCTATCAGAGGTCTCGCCGATCTTGGTCCTGGGGAAAAAGCAAAGATAATAGCGAAGGTCTGTATGTGTGTGTGAACATGTGCAGATGAGTTCTGCTTTTACTTTCTTTGTTATAGATGGTGAACCAGAACCTGCTGATGGAAAAATTATGTTCAGGAAACCAGCCAAACGTTCATCAGAGAAGTTTTTGGACTTCAATGTAAGTTCAAGTAAGAAGATGAAAGAGGCAAAGAAAACTAAGAGAGAAGCAACTACTCCTCAGAGTACATCTAAGCAAGTAAAAAATAGCAGTCTTCTCTCATTTGATGATGAGGAAAATGATGATTAGGAGTTGTATTTTTTTATATTTTACTTACCCTTCTAGGGATCTGAGTAAGATTGAGTGTTTTCCTAGAAATTGAAGCATGGTATCTTGAGTATTCTCTTACTTCGTTATAGTCCAACTAGAGAAACATCGTATAAAACTAGCCAGAGCTAAGTCTTTGCAGTTCAGATGGAACTGTATGAACAGTATGTCATGTCTTTATTTTAAAAGAGAATTTAACCATGTATGTAAAAGCTATTTGAGGTCACAAATGAGTAGCAAAATATGCCTGTACATATCCAGCTTATATAAATTTTCAATCAATACATTTTAAAATGTACTCCCTTACTAAAAATTCATTTCCTCTGTATTTACTGGCCTTAGTTGACAGCGTGTTTTTTACCTGTTATTGTTGACTTGGCATTCAAAAGAGAGAGACTTCATTGTGTGGAACAGAGACCGAAGCTTTCTGCCTCATAGCTTAACAGAAGTTTGCACTAACTTTTGCATGTGTGGTTTGGCGGATTAGCTCTTTGCAGAGCCCTTGCAGTAAGTGAGCCTGCAGTTGCTAAAATCCTGTAGTCTTAATCCTGTCTTTGGTGAATGCAGTCTAAGAAGCATCAAATTAATTTGAATTGATTGTGCTAGCAAGATAAAAAAATTTTGATTGTAGTTCATGGTACCAACTAATGCAAAAGAAAGATGCCTCGACCCTTGGAGATTGTGCACTTTGGTTATCACACTGATGGGCTCAGTGGTGAGGTTTTTTTGAAGTATATTTGGGTACGTTCCAGTTGGGTATGTATGTGCTCATAATTATTTGGGATCTCAAACAGCTTATTTTTAAAAATGTATTTCATCTTTAAGCTGTGGAAAAGCATTATTTTGGTTTTCTTCAAGTAGGAAATTGTAAACAGGAAATGTAAGTTAAGAAATGTTATAACTGTGATACGAAGTTTTAAAATTTTTCAGTTGCCCATGTACAGTACACTGAAGGTGACCATTTCTGTACCAGTTATGTAACAAGATGTGCTGAAATTCAAAATAACACTGAGAGCTGATGAAATTTGGGAGAACAAGGTGGTGGAAATGGGACTAGTGACTTTGAAATTATTTGGAAGTATGGTGTGTTCTGTATCCATATTTAAGCGAGACCTGAGACTTCTGCAGAATTACAGGGTACAAGGCAATGAAAGCAGTTCTGCTGCTGCGTGACAGGACATTCAAAATTATTTGGGCTGTAAAGCTTCATTGAGGAGCAAATTTGGAGTTGCTGTGTGAAACAGCTGGTTTTAGTTTGTTAATCTGGTATTAAACAATAAATTATGTTTTCTATAAGTGGTCCAAAGATATTTTAATGAAAATTTCAGTGCATAAAATGGGATTTTTTTTGTTACCTGATAATGAAGCCTCTTATGACTGCTACCTGTACATACCAACTTCCTGCAGCATAACATCAGATGCAAGTCTGCACACTGTTTCACACTAATTGCCTGAGTGCATGTTACCCTGATTTTGAAAATGAATAGATGTGTTGTCCTTTCAGAAAATTAAAACCAGACTTAGAAAGGGATATTAAAGTCATGTTGTAGCACTGGTCTGATATTAGAACTGCCAGAGAGGTGCAGTGTGACAACCTGATTATTCCCATGAGGACATGTTACATTTGTAAATACCTAATTTGTCTGTATTCTGCATATATTTAAAAAAAATCAAATGTAGGAAGAAGAAATATAGAATCAAAGGTTCCCAGGGATTAATCTTTCCATTTATTTTGTATACTTAAAACTTGTTTGAATCCATTAAAAATATATATATATATACACACCCATGAGAAATCTTGTAGCATTACAGTATACTGAAGGAATATTTGGGCATATTTGAACAACTGAGTAAATTCTCTGACTTGCTGAGGCTCATCTGAAAGGATGAATTAACCATTGACTGCTTACTTAAACTTTTCTGGTTCTGTTCGTCAGCACAAAAATATACTTGCTTACGTTTTTATTGCACACACACTCTTCACTTTAGCTGTAAGGCAGTTTAGGAGACATGGCTATCAAGAAATAAATGCTTGCCAAGGATCAGAGGGAATTTGGATATACCTTAAAATTAGAGAGGGCTTCCCAAATATGCAGCTGATTTGGCATGTTCAGAATAAGATTGAGGTCTTGTTTGAATCTGGTTAGTAATTGGATTTTAACAGAAATTACTATTTCTAGTGAAAGACTTGCGAGACTGAAGTCCAGTAAAAAGAGGGTTACCTCAAAATATTGGGTGCAGTACTTTTGCTTAATCATGCTCCTTGCCCTACAACTTCATGACAGCTGTCTGGAACGCAAATAAATTTATTGGGTTTACTTGGAAATAATACAATGAAAGGCATGTTGTTCTTCAGGCAACACAACAGGGGAAAGAAAGGTGGATATGGAAACCCAGTTTCTTTCCTTTATTCTGACTGTGATTTGTACTGCTCTGACCAGGAGGAGACCTTTGCGTTCATTGTATTTCACTCCCAGTTCACCTAACAGTAACTAATTGGATATATTTATTAAGAGGTGTGAGTGATGCACAAAAGCATTTTAGTCAAGTAGTCATGTGAAAATTCAGTGTTCTTAATGTGACACACCAGGAAAATTACACACGCCATCAACTCCCCATGAAACCTGTGACTAAAGAGAAAAATTACTTGTTCATTTGGGAAAGCAATGTGAAACTGTCTTAAGCAATCACCTGCCTTAAGCAATGGGTCATGGAAAAATAATAATCGCAAGAACTTTCTAATAAAGGGGAAGCCAAAGTGAGCACATGAAACATGGGACTAGGACTCAAATAGACAATTTTTCTGGCTTTTTCTTTCTCTCTCTCTTCCCTGCCCCCATCCCCAGTCCTTTTCCCCACCTGTAGTGGGGAATGTATATATTTTTTTTTCTTGTGGAGCTTGCTCAGCTAAGTGTGAGAGAAGCGCTGTGGAGGAGCAAGGTGAAAGTAGCTGTGGCCTGTTACCTAATATGGGAATCTGGTACAGTTTTTGTTAATACAATCTTTGAGATCTCCCAGTTCATTAAGACTCCAAAACATTTATTGATGGTGATGTTAGTTCTCGCTCTTCTTAGCTGAGCAGTAAGCTGGAACAAACCTGGTGAACTGTAGTAGCATTGCAGCAATGGATGATTACAGTGGAGGCTTTTGATGTTGCAAAGGTGCTTGGATGTCGTCAGGAAAGGTGAGATGCTCTGTCACCTTTCTCTCTTTTGAAGAAACAAGATCTTTCTCTAAATAATAGGAATCAAGGTGAATCATCAAGAATGCATTATTGAGATAGAAATTGCAAAGATGTGGGACAGAATGAGCAAGAAAATGCATGTGTGGGCAGGTGGTCCAAGAGTTCCTATCCTTGGTTATATTTCTAGCCTGTCTGATAAGGTTAATTTTTATCAAATCAAAACAGATCTGTTGGACTGCAAATGGTCATTTCATTGGCCTAAACAGGAAGGGATGAGTCAGAATTCTATTCTGATAGTTTTTGTGTCCAGCACTTCTCCAGGAAATATTATTTGGAGGATCAAAGGCTGTCTTTTGCAGACACTGAACAGAAGAAGCCTGTATCTAGCTGTTTTAATTGCACATTTTTTTAAGTTTCATCACAGGACTTAATGTCTTTTTTTTTACAGTGCTTCAGTATATAATCCTGTTAGGAAGCTGCAGATTTATAATGAAGCAGGAAGTAGCAATGTCATCGTTTCAGCTGACTGTTTCCCTTGTGCTGTAGTGTATTAACTAAGTAATGCTTCACTTGGCTGTGTAGAGCCAATTGCATTCTCAAGGACATCA